TATATATATATATATATATATATATATATGCATATGTACGTACACAACAATTATGAGTAGCTGTTTTGTGCGGGAAACAGCGATACTGACATCTTTCTTTTTTACCTCAAGGAAGCCTACACTGTTGCACGCCAGTTTAATCAGATTCCTCCTGTTGTAGAAGAGACAGAGTACCATATGTTCCAAAGAGATAAGGTGGAGCTTTGTCATCCAGAGCTTTTCCACAAAATAGGTTGGTACATCACTAGGTTAATTCAGTCCTATTCAGTTGAACACGTGGTTGATGTAAGATTGGTTATCACAAAAAAGTCGTTAATTAATAAAACATTAGTGAGCACGGAAAATTGATACTGTAAGATCGACCAGCATGTAAAGATGTTAATATAGCATTTTTCAGCACAGAAGTTGGTTAATTTACAGTTGATCAGCACAAAACCTGGATAACAAAGACTGGTCAACAACAAAAAAATATTTAGATTTATCAGCAGAGAAAGAGGTTAGTGTAAAATTCATAAACGTAAAACATAGTTAATATTAGCTCGATTTGCACAAAAAACTTTTTATGAAACTGATCAACAAAAAAATTTTAATATAAAATTGGCCAGTGCAAAATATGTTTAAATGAGGTTGGTCAGTACAAAACATAGTTAACATAAGATGGATCAATACAGCTTGGTTAATACAGTATCTAATTACGACAATAGTCAGTGCAAGTGATTGATAAGGGGTTGGTCAACGCAACATGCAAGGTACATACATTATTGCCCAATCTTATATAAATTGGAACTGTGGTGTCTGTCCGAGTGTTCGTCTGTTTGCCATTTATGGCGACCGCTTCCCGCGCTGCGTTTGAAAAGCTGTGCACGCAAGCAAAGCTTAACATTCACTTTTGAAATGACGGGAGAACAGGCATGAATAATGTTGATGCCAAATTATATTTCGCAAGCAGGATTTTCTACACTAAATTGTTTGGAATTATTCACACTATCATTCACATTTCAAAATGTGACGTAACTTAAAGAATAAAAATGTATATTTACCGTATGTTGTTGTTGAGCGGCTCTTAGCAAGAGAAATGCTCAACAATTATTTGTCATTGTGGGTGGTGTAAGTAGCTTAGAGCTTTGGCTCTGAGTGAATCTAAGAGTACAACACAATTAACTTTTTTAAAGTCCATGAAATAATTTAAATTGATAGATTAACTTAAACTTTTTCCCGTCATTGGGGACGGGTACTTTTGCTTTGATTAAGGTAAGATAATTCACCATACCAAGTGGTTAATAAGAGTAGATAAATATGAAACTTACTCTAATAGCTCCTCGTGAGAATATATTAATATGAAACTTACTCTAATAGCTCCTCGTGAGAATATATTAATATGAAACTTACTCTAATAGCTCCTCGTGAGAGTAAATGAATTCCTTCATCAAATCTACCATTCAAGCTGAATGCCTGTGGGGACCACGTCATAGTGCCTACACCTGATATTAAGAAACATCAAAACATTAACTGGTTTATAATACCTTGTTAACTCTTTGTTTAAAAATGATAATGTGTTGATCAATTTAGAATCACAGTGTGTAATGAAACATTCAGATCAATCACTTGATACGGTTACTGACACCTTCATATTACAACTTGATACGGTTACTGACACCTTCATATTACAACTTGATACGGTTACTGACATCTTCATATTACAACTTGGTATGGTTACTGATACATTCGCACGAGGATCTATTACAGTAAGTTTCATCCACATTCATATGGATGTACAGGACAAGTTATATTTCTATAATTTTCACGCTTATATATTAGAATAAGTTTCATATTTATATTTTCATGAAATCCAGGTACGCTACTTATCTTTTCTCGTTAGGATCTACTTGGATAAGTTATGTGATCATTTACGTTGAAGGGAGATATACAAGGACAAGTGTTATATTTATTTATAAACTGTCATTATGATTTACAATGGCAAATTTTGTGCTCTTCTAATATTAGAAGGATGTACCTAGGTAAGTTTAAATTAATGAAAAAAACAGAATCTTATTAGGGTAATTGTCGTGTTAATTTATCAAATGCTTTTGGTATTTGTTTTAGACTTACACATGATGTTTCAAATTCTTAGAAATATTTATTGGATTGAGAGATTACCTTGTGAAAACTGAAGGTTTAAACACCTAGTATAGAAAGTCAATACAACTTATACTTAATGTTTATAAAATTAGCCTTAAAAGTTGAAGAATAATCCATTCCCTCGAGAGCTGGTGGTTTTACATATTTGTTGTAAAGCAAAACGTTGTACAATAGGATATATGTGCTGTGACCATTACAAGAATCGAACCTATAATTTTAGCATTATAAGCATTCTAGTTTGGCACTGAATCACTGAGGTTAGAGGTGGGAACTTAGATATTTCAAAAGACAAGCATTTTAAGTTTCTTTAACGTTCCTTTACAGAACTATTCAGGAATCACTGACAAATCAGCATCAGATGACAATCCCAGTCCACGACATAAAGCTAAAATCCATCAGCTCTTCCTCTTGGCGGAGAAATTAGGCTGTACGTTAACTCAGTTGTATATGGGTAAGTATTCTGGAATTGCGTTTCAAATTTTAAGTTGTACTTGTGAACTTAAGTGTTAGAACTATTTCTGTAATGTTTCGAAAGTTCGAGCATTTATTTTTTCAAATTAACTTTCGAGTGGTTACAAAAATCAACGCTGAAAATTTATCTAAATTTTATGAAGTATTCTAAACACCTTTAACACTTATTTTGATTTTGGTAAGATATCTGGAACAACGCAAATGCAAAAGTAAGAACAAAAATAACACAAACTATTTCTGAAGTTTTATTATTTGTTGAGAAGAAATTTGATATCATGTAAAGGTTTAATAAATAAGATATATGTCAGGATATGTCATATTAATCTACTCTCTCACATAAAATTATTCTCATATTCTCTCTCCTGAGGACCTATTTATGCCAGTTTCACTGCATGTATTTTGCACAGAGCAATTAAGATTCGTGTTCATATACTCTCCTGAGGACCTATTTATGCCAGTTTCACTGCATCTACTCTGGCATTGAACAATTAAGATTCGTGTTCATATACTCTCCTGAGGACCTATTTATGCTAATGCCAGAGTAGATGCATGTGAAACTGACATAAATAGGTCCTCAGGAGAGTATATGAACACGAATCTTAATTGTTCAATCCCAGAGTAGATGCATGTGAAACTGTCTTCAATAAGTCCTCAGGAGAGTATATGAACACGAATCTTAATTGTTCTGTGCAGAATAGATGCAGTGAAACTGGAGAGTATATGAACACGAATCTTAATTGTTCTGAGGACTTATTGAAGACAGTTTCATGTGCATCTATTCTAACAAAAAACAATTAAGATTCGTGTTCATATTCTCACATCAGAATCTGTTATGGACAGTTTCACGTTAATTTCCTCCCACAAGGATCTGGTAAGATTAGATCATAATATAGCTTTCCCTAGTAACTGAGCATAGATTTGTATTTAATTTTTACAATATTTTAATCCAATATTTTAGCAACGAGAAGATATCATCGTATTCCGTCTCACTTGCTTCAAGAGCATGGCCAGGTGGTGAGGGAGCTCGACTCGCAATCTGCGGGTCGCGGGTTCGAATCCTCGTCCCACCAAACATGCTCACCCTTTTAGCCGTGAAGGCGTTATAATGTGATGGTCAATCCCACTATTCGTTGGTAAAAGAGTACCCCAAGAGTTTGCGGTGGATGGTCATGACTAGCTTCCTTTCCTCTAGTCTTACACTGCTAAGTTAGAGACTGCTAACGCAGATAGCCCTCGTGTAGCTTTGCGCGAAATTCAAAACAAACAAACAAACATAAGCTCAAGGAAAATATGTCGGCCTCCTAATATTCGACATTTACTTTTTGAACCAAATAAAATCCCACATACCTTACCGGAATCTGTGCGTTGAAATAGGGTATTTTTTATTCAACAGTAATCTTTCACACACTTTATTTTCCTTTATATATCTCAGCATGTTTGTATTACAGTAATCTTTCACACACTTTATTTTCCTTTATATATCTCAGCATGTTTGTATTACAGTAATCTTTCACACACTTTATTTTCCTTTATATATCTCAGCATGTTTGTATTAAACGAAAGTTTTAGAAAGTTGCGACAAGAAAGTGTAAGTGGTACATGTGTAAGTTTGGCTGTACGATCATTGTAGTGTTCTATACTACAGATTATCTTTATCGATTTGATTTGTTTCAGCGTGGTGCCTTAAAAATGACTGTGTCCATTGTGTGCTCGTTGGAGCTTCGACAGTGGAGCAGCTTCTTGACCATCTTCACGCCTTGCAGGTAAAGAGTCATCTAAGAAGAGCATACGACTTTCATTATGCTGATCCGTTTGAGTACAAAAATAAAAGGGTTGAAACTCTGTGGTCAATGCTTATACTAGAAATCATCAAAAACATTTTTTATATTTTAAAAAATCCGCTTAGTGATTGAATAAAAGCAGAAGTATACATACATATATATTTCACGAATTAAAACTAAAAGAAAACAGCTATACTGAAATATAATGCATAATTAGAAAATTTCTCTCACCGCTAGGTGGTGCCTCAACTGGACACAAATGTTGTCAAAGAGATTGAGAAGATTCTCATGAATAAGCCAGTGAGGCCGCAAGTGACCAGGTGACTAGTAGTGCCTAGGGATCCCTCTGGTGTTAGGGAACCCAGGCAAAACTTATTGGAGAACACTCAGAATGGAAGGGAAGGAGGAGAGAGAGAAAGGAGTAACTCTGTGGATGCTCCACAAATCCATCGTCTGGGAGGTCATTGGATTTTAAATAGAGTTCTAAATGCCTGCTCCACCCAATAATCCAGTGCAGTACTTTATCATAAAATGCAACAAATTTAGCTGATTTGATTGAACAAATTTAAATGTGATTCTTCGATGATGACGACAATATTATATGTCAAGATCGTTTCTCGTGTTTTGTAAACTTTTGCCTATTCCAAGAATAGAGAAATGTCTCCCACAGAAACAAAAGTAAATAGGGCGAAATGTTAAACCTAAAATAAGAAGAAAACAAAAACTTGAATGAGATAGGGAAGAAGAGAACAAAAAATGGAATGAACTCGGGAAGAAGAGAACAAAAAAATGAGATGTACCAGAGTACAGATATAACAATATATAAAATAAGCAAAAAAAAAAAGAGAAGAGATGAAAAAATATGGAGTAGGTTCGAATATTACTTGTCGAACTTTCTTGACGTTCAAATTTTCAAGATTACAAAATAACAGCCTAGCTCATTCTATTTTTTGTTCTCTTCTTCCCTAGCTCATTCCATTTTTTGTTCTCTTCTTCCCTAGCTCATTTAATTTTTGTTCTCTTCTTCCCTACTCATTCAATTTTTTGTTCTCTTCTTCCCTATCTCATTCAATGTTTTGTTCTCTTCTTCCCTATCTCATTCAAGTTTTTGTTCTCTTCTTCCCTAGCTCATTCTATTTTTTGTTCTCTTCTTCCCTATCTCATTCAATGTTTTGTTCTCTTCTTCCCTAGCTCATTCAATGTTTTGTTCTCTTCTTCCCTAGCTCATTCAATTTTTGTTCTCTTCTTCCCTATCTCATTCAATGTTTTGTTCTCTTCTTCCCTAGCTCATTCAAGTTTTTGTTCGACCTCAACCTCTTCATGTAACACATCTCGTCACATTTTTGTTCTGGTTTGACTCATTTCTTGTTTAGCCTCAATCCCCTTTGTGCTACGTACCCCTTGTTCATCCTTCTTCCAGTATAATTCATTCCTTGTTCCACTTTAGTCTCAAGTAACTCACCTCTTTTTCATCTCTGTTCTGGTTTGACTCATTTCTTGTTTAGCCTCAATCCCCTTTGTGCTACGTACCCCTTGTTCATCCTCCTTCCAGTATAATTCATTCCTTGTTCCACTTTAGTCCCAAGTAACTCACCTCTTTTTCATCTCTGTTCTGGTTTGACTCCTGCTTTGTTTCACACCTTATGCTAAGTATCTGAATCACTTGTTAATTTTTTCTCCAACGCATCTCCTTCCTTGTTCCATATCAGCTTCAAATAACTTATATTTTTATTATATTTCTGTTATGGCTGGCTCATTTCTTGTTCCATCTCAACCTCTTCATGTTACACATATCTTGTTAATTTTTGTCATCCACTTAATACAATTGCTATTCCACAAAGGATTTAACAGGTAAAACCTAGAAAGTGAAATTAGCTCTTTCCCAAGCTTAGATGTTGAAAAAACCTTGTTTTATGGATCAAAAGTCAAGGCATATTGTGCTCCATTTTTTCCATAATCTGTAGGGCAGACTTCGTAGAACACAAGCTGAGCTTATGCCCTGGAAAAGCACGTAATGTATGTTTAGGCTTATTTGCAGCACAATCAAAAGCTACTTAACAAACTTAATGGGTTTCAAATGAACGTGACTTGAACATTTGTGACTTATAGTAAATAAACAAACGCAAATTACACATCAGTTCTGTAAAACGTATGCATCACACAAGGCCTAATCTGCAAACGAAGAATATGTATATATAATGTAACTGAATTCTGTAATTCTCCAAGTAAGTTATACTTACATACGAGTGTGTATGAAGGAGTATTAGCTAAAATAATCCTTAACTTTTCTCATTCAATCTTCGGGTATTGTTTTCGTTAGACGTAGTAAAACTATGGAAGACTCAAGTAGATAATATGAAATAATAAAATGTAAATTAATGTGTTGAAATAATGGATTACAAGTTTCCGTGGGAAACATGTAGTGCCCCGTTTTCTGGAATTTTATAGATTTAGAAGATTGTCTTTATATATATTATCAATCCAACGTTAGGAGAAGTATGTGATTTATAGAATAAGGCCATTTTCTTCTATTGATTAACATCTGGGTAAAATGACTATCGTTTCTTATCCTCTGTAGCATGTAATTAGATGCTTAATACTTCCAACATAATCTTGATGGACAGAGTACTTAGTCTTCAGACTATTTTATCTCTCTTTAACATTTTATGTAGTATTTTCAGCAGCTTAAGGCTTAATTATAAATTATTAGAAGCTTGAATGTATTCCAACTTATCTTACAGCTACGTTGACGTATTATTACATCTACGTAAACGTTCATTCAAATATTATGGTTTGGTTCTCAGAAAATCAAACAACCATAGCTGTTTACTGGCTAATTTTCACTCGCCAATGTTCATGGTTCACTGTGCTGACCTCTAGCTGTACTATTTGGGTTCTTATGAATCTCTGTTCTGTTCTTTCGCTGTACCACCTGAAATCTTATGAATCAGTGTTCTGTTCTTTCGCTGATCCATCTGTAATCTTACTAATAACTGTTCTGTCCTTTCACTGAATTATCTCGGTTCTTATGAACCACTGTACTATCAAGATTCTTATGGTTCACTGTAGTGACCTCTTGCTGTACTATCTGGGTTATTATGAATCACTGCACTGATGTCTCGCTGTACCATCTGGCATCGTATGAATCAGTGTTCTGTTCTTTTGCTGCACCATATGGGATCTTATGAACCACTTTTGTGTCCTTTCGCTGAACCATCTCCGTTCTTATGAACCATTGTACTGATCTCATGCTATACCATCTGGATTCTTATGAATCACTGTATAGGTTTTCAAAAGTAGCACAATATTATGATACAACCAGATCGACTGTTAAATTAACAACTTGGATATTACATATTACTAAGTTGGTTTTCTGCAGAAGCAAGATATTTGGCTATTAATAGCTTGGATAGTATAAATTACTTGAATCTGTTAATTGATATACAAATTTTGCGATCAGCAGTAACGTAGAATATAAACCATTAAGTTAAATACAATTAAGAATTAAAATAATAGTATAACCTTTGGAATATGATAGTAAGATACATTTTTCTTTACAAGTAACCGTTATTCCACTCGTTCTCCTCTTTTCAGTTGTGATTATTGTTAAGGTGATGATATTTTAAGTACTCATTCTGATAATATCCTCAGCCTATGATATATATATATATATAAGCCATTATTGGCGAGTTCATACCATTGTTGGTAAGGTGATACTATTTTTACTAGATTTACGCTCTTTGGTAGGCTGATGCTATTAGTAGTAAGGCTGATGTTACTTGTAGAACCATACTATTCTTGACTGAACCATACAATATTGCCAAGTTAACTATTACGTTATCATTAGTAAGATTATGCTGTTATATTTATCACACTCGTTTAATTGGTAGAATTAACCAGTTATTGATAAGATGATGTTATTTTCGGCAAAATGATGCTACTGTTACCACATTTATGATACTGGGCAGGATCTTATTAGTAAATATTTCTACTGTTATTACTATGGTGATGTTATTTGGCAAGACGTTACTGTTATAAGAAAGATAATACTACTGTTATCAGAGCAATTTTAGTTGGCAAGGTGATGTTGTTGCCGCTAACACTGTTATTGTTATCACGATGACGTGATTTGGTAGGATGGTGTTATTAGTAAGATGACGTTACTGTTACTAAGGTAATTTATTTAGCATGACGGTGCTGTTGTTGTTAAAATGATATTTCTGTTACCACGATGATGTTATTTGACAAAATGGTGTTATTAGTAATATGATGTTACTGTTACCATCATGATGTTATTTTGTTAGTAAGATATGATGCCGTAGCAAAGTGGCAACTCGTATAACTTTAATAATCAATAATACAACTTCATTTTATTTTGTTATAATTCACACTAGGTTTCTAGATCTAACTGTGAATTACTAAAACGTTCCCATTTGTTAAGCAATGTTCAAGTACATTAGCTCATGAGAAGGAATATAATTGAAGTAATGACGTTGTCTAGTCCCATTTGTTAAGCAGTGTTCAAGTACATTAGCTCATGAGAAGGATTACAACTAAAGTAATGACGTTCCCATTTGTTGAGCAATGTTCAAGTACATTAGCTCATGAGAAGGATTACAACTGAAGTAACGATGTTCCCATTTGTTAAGCAATGTTAAAGTACATTAATTAGCTCATGAGAAGGATTACAACTGAAATAATGACGTTGTCTATTCCCATTTGTTAAGCAATGTTCAAGTACATTAGCTCATGAGAAGGAATATAATTGAAGTAATGACGTTGCCATGTTGCTTAATGTGCACACAGGAGATCTAGTAATACCTTAGGAAGAAAACGTAATCACCAAGATAATTTTACTGAAATAAACAAATTCTACAACGAACGTTCTCAGTGTAAGCAAGGCTATGTTATCCACAGAGACGCTTTTTAGATTCTCAGTAATATATGTGAGAGATATAGTTCGATTTGTTTTTTTCTCTTTAGGTGTCATAAAACAATGTTATTATTGAAAATTATTCATTTTCGTCAAATAAAATAATTCATTAAAGGATAATATTTTAAGAAATGAAGTTAGGTAAGCAATATGTTATGTTTTAGAAATGGAGTCACCTGAATAAGATGGGGCAGCGTCAAAAGTAAAGTCACGTGAACAAAACACAATAATGTTGCAAGCAAATTCACGCGAATGAAATACAGTAATGCGGAAAGTAAAGTCACGTGAATACGGTGATGTATTGTAGAAAGTAAAATGGCGTCAACACTTTCGTATTGAAAAAAAAGTACAGTCACAAAAAGAATAATATTAATAATTTTTTGTAAGTAAATCTATTTAAAGATAATGTAATATTTTCGATATAAGTGTCGCGTGAACAAAATGTTGTTATACCGAAAGTAAAATAAGAAATATTAAAATGGAACATTAAATAATTGAATAGTTGGGAGTATTTTTAAGTAACCGTTGATCTCTGATCTATACGCTTGTCGAACAGTTTTTTTTTTTCTTTCTTTTGTTGGCAGAAAATTATATGAAATTATTATTTTTTCCCTCAAAGGATGTTGACCAAGTGCCTTTATAATTTACTTGTTGGGAGATATCCATAACATTTTGCTAACAAAATTTAATGTAATTGTTACTCAACAAAAAATACTCCGTTTCTGACGTGATTACTGTTGTCATGCGAACGTAACAAACATGTCTCAATCTCGTTTGTTGTTATGTACGAGTATATCATGCATCACCTAATAAACGTTAAGAGATACAAACTGATAATGCTCAAAATATTTGCTATTTCATAATTTTTTTCGGTGTCTGAAATGAAAATATATATATCAACCAATGTCAGTAATATGTTTTTCATTAAAGCAAACATTAACGGTCTAAACATTTTGCAAAATGATATTTAGATTTGCAATATGGTCGATTTTCAGAAGTAGACAGTCGAATGATGAATTGCAAAGATGAAAGCTCTTCATCAACCTTTTCTTTTGCACAACCAACATAATGATCACCCACCGTCCAAAGCTGGCTTTAAAAAATTATGTCAAGTTTTTTCGACGAAGTTTCCGGCAGTTTTCGGGGTTTTAAAGCAGGGTTATTTATGTTCTGTGTGGGATTAGAAACATGAACTACCTACAATTTAATAACGTTATTTTACGATGCATGAAACAATGCGTTTTGTAGATAGACGTGGATTAAATGTTCTCGAATTTATTTAGTTTCATATTTTTACCGTTAAAACGTACTTATTACACGCCATTTTAGAGGTGTTTCACAGTTATTGATATCTTTATATTTTCATGTCAATAACTGTTTAAAATTCAAAGCATCAGAGTGTAATATTCTTTGATAAACTATTAACTACCGCTAAGGTGATCTTTGATTATTATACCTTCTTGTGAGTAAGAGATTACAATGCAAACAAGAAGGAATCCTCAATAGCCGCGGCACTTGAAATTCTTTGAGGCAGGATTAGAGTAAATTAATATATGAGAACTTTGTTTCCCCATTTTATTACCTATATTTTTGTGCACCAGCAACACTCGTTTCGATTTTATTGCGCATCAAGATCTCTACTAGCCTACCCTCAACTTGAAATTATTTTAGACAGGATTAGAGTAACCTAATCTATGAGACCTTGGGCGTGATCAAATACATCAATCGAAAGGGTTTGACCTCCTGAGTCCAAAACTGTAATTAGATTTCAAATTGGTCAAAAGATGACGGATCTATGAGCTAAAAGTTTGTACTTGAAAAATCAAGCCGATATGCCGCGGCTAAATATAACAATAATAATAACACTTACACGATTTCTTTACGCAAGGTGTATCATATCACTTTTCAAACTTTTATAATTGTTATTCTTATTATGATGCTACTGTTTTCTTCTGGAATAAGAAAAGAACAAAGAAAACTTGAATAAAACAATACGAGTTAGGGTTAGAATTTTCGTACAATAAGCAGGCAAAATTAGTTTCAGACAGCACGTGTTTCTATTTAATAAACTTTAGTTAATATCCATGCCGGTAGAGTGCATTTTTCTTTAAATATATTACAATAATTAAGAACTCTGAACAAATTTACAGCTGACAGTTATAACATTTAAATAGTAATGTTATTTCTTTTTAAATTAAGACTTTTTTTTTATTAATTTTTCTGAATTTCTCAAAAAAATGTTTTCTAACTTTATCTGTTTATATGGTCTTTTGTTATTTAATATAGAATACTTTAATTTAGAATTAGTTCGACAGAGCAAAGAAGAACTGATGATATATACTGTGGAACTTGTAATGAACTGTAGTTTGGTGTAGATTTTTTTAATGCTTCGTTTTATGCTTGTAGATAATTTATCCCATAAATCACATGTTCACTACAAAAAACGCTGAGTAGCTCGTTATTTTTCTCAGATTCTTAGTCGCCTGTCTGTATGCCAATCTCTATTCCTATTTTCTATTTTTCTGCACATGGTCCGGACGTGGCCTGAAATTTGAATCTGAGGACTCATGCCGTAAAAACACGCTCCGCACTTCTGGGCTGTGACTGCGCTATAAAAGTGACGGTCAAATCCCACTATTCGATCAGGGAAAAACAGCCCTAGAGTTGGCGGTGGTTACTATTGACAAGAATCTAGTCTATCAGTTCAAATGTATAAAACAGCTATAGTCAGATAATCCTTTGTGCAACTCTGTGCTAAAATTATAAACAAACTTTCTGCATTTGGAACTTTTAGCATTTTGTTACATTCTTTAAGTTTTCAATGAACATATTTTTTTTCAATATTCTTCAAATGAGCAAATATTATTTATGGTTACAGAATAAAATGAAGAAAGAAACCGAAGTAAATATCTTTCAGAGAGGATTTTAAATCAATAAGAAAAGTAGAATACTTTATTTATTGTTTTAATTTTCGTTTCTGACTAACACTACTCCTCAGTTTTTTTTTAACTAGGGCTAGAAACATTTCAGCCTACTTTACACCATAGATCCTAATCACCATAACTTCAACCATATTTCGTTTTACAGCCCAGCAAGAAAGTCTCAAAATAAATTAAAGAATGATATATGTATACTTTTTATGCTAAAAAAAAGGCATATTTTATAACGAACATTCACCAAATTGTTTCACGATTGACAAGTTATTTCGTAATAGACATGAAAAATGTTGAAATGACTTACAATCTGCTGGAAAAAGAGGTCACGAATCCAAACGTGTACTGAAACATATTCTTCTCTGCAAAACTATCTGGATCCTACAGAAAATGAAAATAAGTAACCAGAACTAAGCCTCATTGTTAAATGCATTCACTGACAATACATACATTCCTTGAGTGAGTTAAAATTTTTTTACTCTGACTCTGAAAAATACAATTACCAGAAGAGAATGTAAGGAATAATTGAAATTTCTACTACGATACAGAGTAATCCTACAGATATTGTTAGCGGCATCTACTGATAAAAACCTGTAGCTCATAATTACAAATTATAAATTACAAAATATGTGTTTTTTGTTATAGCAAAGTCACATCGGGCTATATTTGTCACAAGCGAAAAATTAATTTTAATAGTTTAGTATACTACTTAAAAGTAGATCCAGCGTGATACGACAATCAGTGGAATTATGTTATATGTAATAACTGAAATTTCAGCGCTTTTTTTATTACCTTTATGTGACTAATGTTCCGATTAATCAGTGATTTACTAGACTTTAGTGCCATCTCTCAATCACATATATTTTAAAATACATAACAATAGCAACCGTTAAGAATATGCTCAATATGTTTAAATCTTGTATAATCTTAATGAACTTCTCAAGCATTGATTAAAAACCATGTTGAAAGGTGGACTATAAAATGTACAAGTAACATGCATTTACTTACAACAGAAGTGTGTTGTAAAAACAACAAAACACAACAGTGCCGCGGTGAGTCAGCAGTAATTTGTGTTCCTTCAACGCTAAGATCCGGGGTTCGATTTCCAGCGATAAACATATTATAGGTAGCCCATTGTGATGCTTTGCGGTAAATAAAAAGCAAAGCAAGATTATTCACATATTTTAAAATATCTACTTTCAATTAACTAAACGTTTTCTTTTGTCAGCTTTACCTTAAATAAAACAGCAAACATATTCATTCACATAAGGTAAACATTCAAAGCACTTGATATCACATTTTTATCCCCAATATCTTCGAATAGAATTAAAACAATCGGATGTTTTAACATAACATAATGCTTTGCGACAACAATAGACCTATTGGTCCATCTCGGCTATCACATCCTCTAAACTAAACTGTGATAAATTTTAAAAAATGTTAAAGCCAGCTCTTATTAACTCACATAAATTTACTGCATGTACAACATTCGAAGGCAACCCATTCCAAAGGTCAACCATCCTATTAGAAAAATGAAACTGTCTTTGCCAAAATTTATATTTGTGTTCCCTAGTCCTACTATTCTTACTGTTAAATATGAAAAAAGATGATGCATCAACACTATCAATTTCCTTTACAATCTTAAACGCCTCAATCAGATCCGCCATAACACTTCTTTTTTCAAGAGAAAACAGTTTGAGAGATTTCAGCCTCTCCTCATATGACAACCCCTCCATCCCAGGCACCATACTACTAACCCTTTCCAACAATTCAAT